TTAGAAAATTCTGAGATATAATTTACCATTGATTCTATTCTCCCAGATCTCTATTTCCTTTGGGATATTTTTACTCTGTCTCTTAAAAAATGGGTAGTAAAATTTTAATAAGAAAACATCTTTTGTCTCAGCCTTTTTGCATGTTCAGCTTGGCAGCATCCATTGTGTTCACCAGGATGTGAACTGTCACCACCACCCATTGCCAGCATTTTTCATGACCCTAAATGGAAACTCGGTGTTCCTTACAGCAATAATTCGCTCCTTCCCTGCCTCCTGCCCACACTCCACAACTACTCATGAATGTTGGCTTCTGCACATTTGCTTCTTGTAGATGTTTCAAGAAGGTGGATCACAGAGTATCTGTTCTTTTGCGCCTGATTTGTTTCATTCAGCACGTTGTCTTCAAGGTTCTCCCACGTTAGAGCATTTCTCAGAATCTCATTTCCTTTAGTGAAAGAGGAAAACTTCATCATGTGCATGGATATGTACTACATTTTGTTTATCTTCGGATGAATTTCGAGTTGTTGCCACCATTTGACCATTTTGAAAAATACAGCGAACATTGGCATACATGTTTCTGTTTGTGTTCCTGATTCTCTTTCATGTTTTATACCTAGGAATGGAATTCTTAGCCCACAGGTTAATTGCATGTTTTCACTTTGTGAGAAGCTGCCAAACTATTTTATATTGTTTCCACAAGGATTCACCAACTCTGGATGAGGACCCCAGTTTCTTCACATCCTTGCTAACATTTACTGTTTTCCATTTTCCTATCTTTAGCCATTCATTTTTCTATTTGTAGCCATCCTAAAAACTCACGCATGCCAGCAAGTCATTTCCGACTCATAGTGACCCACTGTGGGTTTCTGAGACTCTAACTGTCTACAGGAGTAGAAAACCCAGTCTTTCTCCTGAGGAGATATTGGTGATTTCGAACTGCTGACCATGAGACTCACAGGCCAATGCTGAAACACTACACCAGAATTGGCATCTCATTTTTGATGTGCATTTCCCTGATGGTTAATGTGGTGCAGAGCATCATTTCATGTGCTTGCTGGCCATTTGGGTAGCCCAATGCTCCTCATTCTTTTGACATTGACAAGATCCAGAAAACAAGAGCCAAATGGTCCATGCTCATTTCAAATTGGTCACTTTCTGGACTTATACATGAGAATAGGATAAGCATTATATGCCCTTGGATAATCCTCGTAGGAATTCTTCTCTACCCTCAAAAGAAAATTATGCCTTACCAAGTTTGGGAAGGTTTGCAGAGAGATTCGTTGCAAACAGTATCTTAATTTCTTATGGGATTCTAATAAATTGGTAAACTTGGATTCTTTATTTTTTCATTGAATTTAGAGGGAAGTGTCCCTGACTATTATTTTCAGTTTTGTAATACTCTTGTAAAAATAAAAAATATATTATACTTTAACACATCATTTTTGATGAACAGATGAGCTAGAAAGAAACTCAACAGAGATACAGATGATCCGACAGTCAATCAACCGGACATCAAAGGCATATGCAGAACTTTCCACCAAACAGCAATCCATTACGTGTACATTCTTCTACAGTACACAGGCCTCATTCTCCTGAGCAGACTATGTGTTAGACCACAAAGCAAACCTCAAAAACCTTTTTAAAACCACTGAAATGGTGCCAAGTAACTTGTGTAATCACAATGCTATAAAAGTAGAAATTAACAATAGGACGAACAAGGAGGAAAACAACACATTGCCTAAAAATAACTGGGAATAAAAAAATGACTGGGTAATAGAAATTCAAAATAAAATAAAAATATCATAAAGTCAAATGGGAATGGAAATGCTGAATACCAAAACCCTTGGGACGCAGCAAGAGCAGTACTCAGAAAATGTATAGCAATAAATGTACACTTAAAAAAGGAGTCTAATGCAGCAGCTTAACTCTAAGACATGAATATATGGGAAAAGAGCACTAAAGAAGCCCACAATCAACTGAAGACAGAAAGTAATAAAGAGTAGAAAAGAAATAAATGAAACAGAAACCAGAAAAATTGTAAAGTTATTAGTTAATAAGAATACAAATTGGTTCTTTGGGAAGATCAATAAAATTGATAAACCACTGGCCAAATTAAAAAAGGAAGAAAATTGTTAGGTGCCACTGAGTTGGCTTCGACCTATAGTGACCCCACACGCACAACAGAAGGAAACACTGCAGGGTCCCGTGCTAGCCTCACAATTGTTCCCATGCCTGTGCCCATTGATGCTGCCACTGTGCCTGCCGCTTTTTCACTGCTCTCCACTTTACCAAACTTGATGTCTTCTCCAAGGGCTGGTCTCTCTTGACAACACGTCCAGGGTATGTAAGATGCAGCGTGCCATCCTTGCTTTTAAGGAGCACTCTGGCCTGACTTCTTCCAACACAGATTGGTTTGTCCTTTTAGCAGCCATGACACTTTAAATATTTTTCATCACAATTCAGTTGCATCAGTTCTTCTATGGTTTTCCCTGGTTAGTGTCCAACTGTCACATGCCTATGAGGCAACGGACAATACCATGGCTGGTGTCAAGTACAGCTTAGTCCTCGAACATCCTTGCTCTTCAGTACTCTAAAGAAGTCTTGTGCAGCCATGCTGATGTACCTAATGCAATTGTCTTTTTATTTTATACAATTGTCTTTTGATTATTTGACTGCTGCTTCTATGAGAATTGACTGGGGATCCAAACAAGACAAAATCCTTGCCAACTTCGACCTTTTTTCCATTTATCACGTCCTGGGATTGCCATTGTGTTCTCAAGGTTATGTAGTTTATTTTGGTTCAAACAGTTGAATGCTTTTGCATAGTCAGTGAAACCCAAGTGAACATCTTTCTGGTATTTTCTGCTTTGAACCAAGACCCGTCTGACATCATCAGTGATAGCCGTTACTCCATGTCCTCTTCTGAATCTGGCCTGAACTTCTGGAGTTCCCTGTCAATGTACTGCTGCAACTGTTGTTGGATGATCTTCAGCAAAAATTTGCTTGTGTGCAATGTCAATGATATGGTTCTGTAGTTTCAACATCTGTTGGGTCACCTTTCTTTGGAATGGGCACAAATATGAATCTCTGACAGTCAGTTGGCCAAGTAGCTGTCTTACAAATTTTCCTGGCATTGAAGAGTGAATACCTCCAGTGCTTCTCAGCTTTCTGAAACATTTCAGCAGGTGTTCCATCAGTTCCTGGAGTCTTGTTTTTGGCTAATGCATTCAGTGCAGTTTGAACTTCTTCAGCACCATTGGTTCTTGTTCATATGCAACCTCTTGAGATAGTGGAATGTCGACTAGTTCTTTTTTGGTGTAGTGATTCTGTGTATTCTTCCCATCTTCTCTTGATGCTTCGTGCATTATTCAATACTTTGCATATAGAACCTTCCAACATTTCAACCCAAGGCTTGAATTTTTTCTTGAGTTCTTTCAATTACAGATATGCTGAGCATGTTCTTCCCCTTTGGGTTTCTAATTCTAGGATTTAGTACATTTCATTATAATATTTAATTTTGTCTTCTCGAGTTGCCTTTTGAAGTTTTCTGTTTAGCTCCCTGGCTTCATCCTCTCTTCCATTTGCTTTAGCTACTCTGAAACAAAGCAAGTTTCAGAGCCTCTGACTCAGTGGGCCCTTACAGCAGCACACCTAGACCAGGACCCCAGTGATGTCGTGAGTTAGTCACTGGAACTCCTGCTTCCAGTAAGGCTTACAGCCTTGGAAGCCAACGGAGCAGTGAGTTTGGTTTGATTTATACATAAACAATCTCAGGGACTCCACACTAACGCGAATAGAGAGAGCTCTTAGAAGATTTCAGCAGAGTGGCCAGGAATAAGGCAACATACAAAAATCAGTTAGAATTCTGTACACACAAAACATTTTTGAAAAGATAGTCAAGAAAACAGTACCATTTACAATAGCTCTACCTAAAAAAGGTAAACGACTTAGGGGTAAGTCTGACTAGGAATGTAAAATAGTTATACAAAGAAGTCTGCTAAGCACTAATGCAAGAAGCCACAAGAGGTCTACCTACGAGCAGTCCCATACCATGCTCATGAACAGGAAGACAAGTTTGAAAGTGTCAAAGCGGGAGGCGTCTGTCTTCCCAATCTCGATGCTGCTGCACAGCATGAAATGGAAAGAAGCCTGGTGCTTGTTAGTGTGTACTGCATGTAAACATAGATCTCAATTTCAGTGTATTTTAATTTTCCTGTTTATAGTTTCTGTTTTTCTTTGGGATTATTTTTATCCTTTACTAATTTGCTTTAGCAGTTCTTTATAAGTGCTAGATACAAATACTTTGTTTTATTCTACGCATTTCCCAGTCTGTGTCTGTATGACACATTAATTACGTAGAACTGTGTAGTAGCTGCTTAGTTAAATATGATGTAGAAATTGTAAAGGAAATATATTTAAGTCTCTCCAGGGTCACATGTGGGTAGCAGCTATTACATTGGGTCAGTGCTAACACAGGTTATTTTGGCCATCAGTGGAAGTGCTGCTGCACACCTGATAGGGAAAGTTGTAAACTTAGAGCCCGATTTAAAATGTTTCCTTATTAAGTGTGTTGTGTCCTTAATAAGAAATTCTGAGTATCTTAATGTTCTAGGGTTATTCACATATTTAAAAAAGAATCCCTTTCACATTATATCTTAGAATCTATCTAGAATATATTTTTATGAATGTGATATTTTTTTCTATGTGGATTTGTGTTCTAACTCCATTTACTCAAAAGTGTATCCGTTTGCTGTTGAAATCAAATGCCTCTGACATTTAGCAAATTTTAGCTATTTTGTGTTGTTTTTCCTTTTTCTCCTGGTATTTTTACTATGTTTTTTCTTCTTTCCTATTTACATATCCTAATATCAATGGCAGATTCTTTTATTTACGTTGGTTTGATAATGATTCCCGATAGCTGCTAGGATAATTCCCCTTTCCTCAGAATGATCCTGACACATCTCTCTTGACCATTTGGTCTTCCATTTTTAAGTGCGGCATTCAGCTTTGTGGATTTCCATTAAAAAAAACAAACCTCTGATGGAATTCTGTTTGGAATTGCCTGGAATTGACAGGTTAGTTTGTTCCGAGTTAGTGACTTCGTTCATGCTGTCAATGGAGCCTAATCATTTTTTTAATTTGTTATTTTGTGTTTTCGATACTGTATTAGTAATTTTTCCCTTAACACTAATGAGGCAAAAATGAGGATAAGAACTTGTCCTAGCAGCTTTCAAGAATCATTATAAACCCACATTAGTAAAAGAATATTTCTGGCGGTTTTTATTCGTAAATGAAGTGGCTGTGTCATTGTCTTGAGTTGTCTTGGTGTCATGGGTCCCATGGTTATGCTCGACCTGTGTTTTTCAGCTTGCAAGCAGTACTTTGAAAAGTATCCAGGAGACCATGAACTCCTCTGGGAAGTTGAAGGTGTTGGACACTGGTACCAGAGAATACCAGTTACTAGAGCACTGCAGAGAGAATCACTTAAAATTACAGGTGAAAATGCTCTCCATATTCAAGTTCAACTTAAAAAGCAATGTGTCATTATTAAAGTAGCAAGAATAGCAAGGGACCAAAGGTAGTCTCGACCTCACCCCATCCCATCCCACGTATTTCTCCCTAATGTCACTCTTTAAGATGGTTTGTATTTGCCAGATTTTACTGCATAGATTGATGAGGTGGCTATCCCAGGCCTAGATTTTCAGCTTCCATCTGTCTAGGCTGCTTTTCCAGGCTCTTGTGAGCATCAGTACAGATAATGTGACTATTAAAACCCAGTAAATACTGATTGGTTAAGAATTTTTAAAATTCTTCTGCATACAGCAGTTTCTCAAACTGAAGCTAGAAGACCTACACCGGGAGAATATGGTCTTGCGTCTGTTCCAGGATATGAAGCAAAAGTTGGAGACCGTCAATCCGGTGATGTGCAGCTGACTGTAGGTACTCTCTGTCTGTTGCGGGAAGCCTGTTTCGTTCTCTGTATCCATTTTCCTGCTGGTGGTGGTTAGGGGCCATGCTGCTGGTTCCGACTTGCAGCCACCCAGTGTCCTACAAAAGGAACCGCTGCCCGATCCTGCACCGTCCTCACAATTGTTCTCATGTTGAAGTCCATTGTTGCAGCCACTGGGCCCATCCATCTCCTCGGGGGCTTCTTCTTTCCATCTTCTTTTTCTTGGTACCATATGCCTGTTGATGATGTTGGAGGAAAATATAATTTATTCAAGATTATGAGACTGACGCGTTGCCTATTGCGCTAACAAGGCACTAATTTATTCAAGATAATTGTATAATTTGCAGTGATACTACCCCAAAGTTCAGAATTAAAAAAGGATTTCATTTTCTTTGTTTATAGTCATCTTATCAGTATGATGTTAGCCTGTTTGCTGATAGTTGCAGTAATCTGGAAACCATAGAAAATCATACAAGAAAATGAAAACCTGAAATCTCCCCCTAGTTATTAGTCACTGTTAGCATTTGGTGTATGCATTGAATAGTATATATTAAATGTATCTATACTTTCTTTGCTTTTATCTTTTTATGTTGTTAATGTAACCATTTTCCGTGCCATTACTGTTTAACACATGCTTGGTAAACAGTATGCCATCATCATTTAGCTCATTAATATTGAATATATACGTAAATATTTACATTTATTAGTGGCCTGACATTGGACACATTTGTATGTGAATTTTTGTGCCCTCTAGGCATTTTGTTGTCCATATAAATTCCTTGAAGTGGAATTATCAGTAGTTCAAAGTTTGTGAAATTGTGGAAAGTTTCAGACTAAAAATTGGGTCTTTGACAGACATAATGCATTTTTCAGGCATTAACAGTAGAAGGATAGTTCTTTTACACTGTACTCCAGAGGACTGGTCTCTTTTTATAGAACTGGTATTTTGTGCTACTTAAAATAATTACTTAAAATATGGGTCTGCTGGTAATATTGGGGAAGTTATTTTAATGTAGTTTTGATTTGATGGCATCTATTATAGTCATATTTTCTTTGTACGTGGCTGAATATGTTTTTAGTGACTCTTGGATAAGTGTGTGTACATTTATATGCAATCATATATCAGAAGGCACTTTGAGGGGTTTATCTGTGCTTATTTCTTGGCTTGGTTGGTATAAGATCTGACTATTTAAGTGCAAACTTTAGTATTAAATTGTTTATTGATTACACATGATAATGGATGATACATAAATTCCAACTCCACCTATAATTTTATCCGCTACCATTATTCAATTTAAATTCATTGCGTCGGATGCACCAACAACCATTTTTTATTACCAAATACATCCTGTAATTTCCAACGGTAAACTCCAAGTTACACCCAGTAACTGTCAGCGCAGCTCCAACCACAATTTCTGAAAACAATGGCTCCACTGCCCCAAGCAGGGTTCTAAGGTCAGATCTCAGTATATTTCAAACCAATGGCATTAGCCTGAAGTAGTACTATACTTCATACTGTTAGGCAGTTTATCAAGATGGTTTAAGGGTAGACTAACTTTACACAGCACATTAAAAAAACAAACAAAAAACATTTATTCAGTCAGTAGCATGGCCACACACACAAAAAAAGGAAAAACTACATTAAAACCCTTTGTTGGAAGGCTTCACACTTTCCACAGAACCAAAATTAAAATAACCTGTTATACAGTAAATACAGTCCTTAAATTCTTTTGCTCATTCACATAAGTATTGCCCAACACATGTCTTCTTTATAGCAGCTAGGCTCTGCCACCACTGTGCTTGACTGAGTTCACAAATCTGCTGGATCCTGTAGTTTCCCTGTCACTTAGCTGGCTCCCCTCTCCTGCTAACCCTTGTTTCCTGTCAGTCATTGAAATCTTCTGCCAGTGCCACAGCTACTGCTGCTGCTTGAACCACTGTAGCCACCGTGGTTTTGTGGTTTGGCAACATATTGACCTCCATCACTGTAAGGGCCAGAGTTTCTGCCTCCAAAGTTTCCTCCCTTCTTTGGTCCAAAATTGGAAGATCGATTGTTGTAATTGCCCAAATCATTGTAGCTTCCGCCTCCTCCAAAATTGCTTTCATCATTACCGAATCCATTAAACCATCCCCGCTGCCGCCATATCCACCACCACCACGGCTGCCACCAAAGCGACCACGTCCACTGAAGTTTCCACCCCTGACCAAAGTTGTCCTTCCCACCAAAACCACCTCCATGGCCACCACTGACATTTCCAGAGCTGCTTCAACCTATTTGGCTGGAAGAGCCACTGGCCATCTCTTGCTTCGACAGGGCTTTCCTTGCTTCCCAGTTGTGGCCCTGCACAGCATGACAGTCTTATCTACAGAGTCATGGTCATCAAGTGTCACAAAAGCAAAGCCCCTCTTCTTGCCACTGACTTGATCGCTCATGATGTGAATTACTTCAGTTTTCCCATATTGCTCAAAATAATCCTGTAGCTGGTGCTCTTCAGTGTCTTCTTTGATGCCCCCAACAGAGCTCTATTTCATGGTTCTATGGGCACCTGGTCTTTGAGAGTCTTCTCCTGAGACAGCCAGCCCTGTGGTTCCAAAGCTCTTCCATCCACCCTGTGTGGCCTGGCCTTGCATCCATGGCTGTGTCCCCCTCCTCCATAGTAGAGTTAAGCCTCCAGAGCCCTCGGTGTTTGGATGTCTGGGGACCACACAGTCTGTGAGCGCCCTCTATTGTTCAGAATGGCTCTGCAGAATCTCCTTCGTTGTGTCAAAGCTCAGCCCTTTCATGAAGAGTTTCTGCAGTTGTCCGGGCTCTTTAGAACTTAGATATGGGGTAGGGGGGTGGCGGACACGAAGGACCACTAAGGATGCTTTTTCCATCATGGCATTCAGAGGCAGAAACCTTGAGTGAAACATTTTGAAACTTTTAAAGGATGATATGATTAATAGTACCCATTGGGCTGGGAATTTTAAGGTCAACAGTTCGAAACCACAAGTTGCTCCAAGGGAGAAAGACAAAGCTTTCTACTCTCATAAAGAGTTGCAGTCTTGGAAACTGCCACAGGGCGATTCTACCCTCTTCTCCTTTAAAAAAAAAAAAAAAGTTTTGTGGTGTTTTTTTTAGTTCTACCCTCTTCTGTAGGGTCGCTAGGAGTCGGCATCCACTCAATGGCAATGAGTTTTTTATGAGAAGTTAGAATTTTTCATCTACATTTGGAGCTTCAAACTTCAACATAAGTTCTATTATAGTTCAGAAATCGGAAATATTGTGGAGGTAGAAGATTGTACTCCTCTCATATATGTAATGATAGCAAATTATTTACTTCAACAGTAAGCCAAATAATTTAAACCTATTTGGATAATGCTACAAATTGCACTCTAAAAGGGCAAACCCCACATTTATCACTAAATGAATACTGGGATCAGTGTGAAACCTGTTCTCACTTGGAAATGGATTTCTATTCCTCCTCTCCTGCTTACTTCAGGGCCAAAGCTCTTTCAGATCCTAACCCCCAAAGTGAGGTCAGACCTCATTCTTGGCTCTCCTGAGCAGAGTGCAAACACCTCTGAGGCCAGGTCATCAGAGAGCAGCTATAGAGGGGCTCAGGAGTCTGCATTGGTGTGTGTGTCTCTGCTTCTCTCATGTCTCTACTGTCTGTGTCACACACTTGAAGAAGTCCCTACTTCTTTCATCGACTTCCTATGAAGCCATGTCCTTATCAGCCAGACACCCAGAGCTAGGTCAGCACTAACCGACTCTGTCAGCCTCTAATGTCTCATTACTCCAGTGGGTTCATTAATTCTCTAGAACAGCTCAAAATAGTTACATGCCACCTACTTAGACTTTAAAAAAACCACTTATAGCCAGAAAGGATGCAAGCATAGAAAGACACATCAGGCCAGGTCTGGGAGAGGTCCCAGCTTGAGGCTCCCATTGGACATAGGGACCTGCTACACTCTCCTATGCATAAACCTTCTCTCCGAGCCAGGAGCTCCCTGAGAGAGCGCCAAGGCCAGAGTCCCCCCGTCATTTGGGAACTTGAATACGAGAGGGTACCTAAAAAGCCCGGGAAAAGCTGCACTGGCCAGAGCTTTCGTAGTACACATTTTTTCTGCTAGGTGAGTATCCAGCTCTGAGTTAGTGCACCCAGTGCACCTGGGAAGGGTCTCCCTGGTCACAGTGAATTTTTTTCATAAAAGCAGTTTTGCTTAAACCTCATTTTTTGTGATGGCCAACAGAACAGAGTGCAGCTGTGAAATTTTGTTTCCTGCTCAGGAAAAATGCCACAGAAACTGTTGTGATGTTGAACACAGCTTATAAGGACAGTGCTATGGGAAAAACTCAAGTATACGGTGGTTTTCTCATTTTAAAAAAGGTGAAATGTCGATTGATGATAAGCTTCATTCTCAACATCTATCAACTTCCTGAATGGACGAAAATGTCAACTCATAGTGCATTTGGACTTTGTTTTACCAGGTCAGACTGTTAATCAAGCTTTCTGTTTAGAGAATAGAATCTGAAAAGATTGCATAATCGTGTGCCACAAAAAAGGCCCGGTTTGTGGCAGACGGGACTGTTTTTGCCATCACGACAATGCACCTGTTCACGCAGCCACCTTGTGTGCCAATTTTTGGTAAAAAGCAGCCACCTTACTCACCTGACCTCGTTCTGTGCGACTTCTTTTTGTTTCTGCGAATAAAGATGGACATGAAAGGACAACGATTGACAACGCAGAAGAGGTGGGGAAAAAAACAAACCGAGGGAGTTGCTATCAGCCATCCAAATAGATGAATCTGAAGAGTGGAATTGCAGATTTGACAGATGTATCAAGTGTAATGGAGAGTACTTTGACAGTGAGAAGGTTGTCTTGTAAAAAAAATTTAAATACATAGCTTTGGGGGGAAAATTCCTTTTGGGGGGGCGGGGGGTTTGCTACTCCCATATATTTAGGATCTTCATGCATAGTTAGGATCAGTGATTGCACATGCCTGCGTCATGCGCCCTCCCTCCTGAAGTTCATTTGCCGGCTAGGTGGGACTGTGTGGCTCCCACCTGTCAGGCTATTCTAAAGTAACAGCAAGCACCTTAGTTGTTCAAGCTCTTCAAAAACAGGAAAAGAAAATCCAAACCCCGTTCTTTGGCTCACAGTCATATCTGCAAAGCCAGCTGTCATCAAGTCACTCCAGCTCTTGCATGTCAGAGTAGATCTGAGATTTTGTTTTCTAAGTATTGCAACAAGTGTATTGCAACAAGTTTGATGGGGAATGAGCCCCATGAAACAACTGTTTAGAGACTGATCAAGTGTTTCTTTTTAAAATCATTTTATTAGGGGCTCAGACAACTGTTCTCACAATCCATACATACATCACTTGTGTAAAGCACATTTGTACATTCATTGCCCTCATCATTCTCAAAACATTTGCTCTCCACCTAAGCCCCTGGCATGAGCGCCTCATTTTCCCCCTTCCCTCCCCGTATCCCCCTTCCTCGTGAACCCTTGATAATTTATAAATTATTACTTTGTCATATCTTACACTGTCCCACATAACCCTTCACCCACTTTTCTGTTGTCCGTCCCCCAGGGAGGAGGTTATATGTAGATCCTTGTAATCGGTTCTCCCTTTCCACCTCACCTTCCCTCCACTCTCCCAGTATTGCCACTCTCACCACTGATCCTGAAGGGATCATCTGCTCTGGGTTCCCCGTGTTTCCAGTTCCTATCTGTACCAGTGTACATCCTCTGGTTTAGCCAGATATGTAAGGTAGCATTGGGATCATGGATAGTGGGGGACGTGGGGGAGGAAGCATTTACGAACTAGAGAAATGTTGTTTGTTTCATAGTTGCTACACTGCACCCTGACTGGCTTGTCTCCTCCCCGAGACTCTTCCATAAGCGGATGTCTGATTGCCTACAGATGGGCTTTGGGTCTCCACTCCGCACTGCTCCTCATTCACAATGATATGATTTTTTTGGTTCTGATGATGCCTTATACCTGATCCCTTCGACACCTGGTGATCGCATAGGCTGGTTTGCTTCTTCCATGTGGGCTTTGTTGCTTCTGAGCTAAATGGCCACTTGTTTACCTTCAAGCCTTTAAGACCCCAGACTCACTATCTTTTGATAGCCAGGCACAATCAGCTTTCTTCATAGATCTGAGTTTTTAATGGCTGATTTTTCATATGTAGATTGTTAGCCCTTCTTTTCAAGGTGCTTCTGGGTAGATGTTAACCTCTAAAAATGTTTCTATCACTCATGGACCCCAGTGTCATATTAGAATATATTATACCGGAGCCGCTTTCTAGGGTTAAAGCTCAAAAAAACCCACTTAAACAAGCTCAAATTCACAGTCTTCAAGTCATTTCTACCTCACACTGACCTTATGCAACGGGCGGGATAGAATGGCTCTGGCGGTTTCCAAGGCTTTCAATATTTTTCGGGAGTGGAAAACCTCATCTTTGTCCTGGGGAGTGGCTGGTGGCTTTGAACTGCTGATAGCAGCCCGGTACATAACCCAGCACGCCACCAGGGCTTCGTAGTGTAAGTTTGGCAGCATAACTTACATTAACATTTTTTTTTAATTTTAGAGATTCTTTTTCTACACATTATTTTAATATTTCAGCTGAGCATGTTAACCAGAGCAGATAGCAAGTGACTGGAGGCACCACGCCGAGCCTGACCAGCTCTCCCAGGGATGTACGAAGTAGTCACTGAGTGGACTTTTGAAGGCGAGCAGGAGATCTATGACAAGTTGTTAGGGTATTCTACACAGTTAAGGCATGCAGAAAACCGCGGAGTTGTAGGAGAAAATGGCATGTTTGCGGAAACTGCAAGAAGTTCGGTCCAGAAGTAGAACCCAGAGAGAACAAGAGATCCCGTTGTAGAAGGCCATTTGAAGAAGGCGAGAGTTGGTGCTCTGTGCAGTGGTCAACCACTAAGGTTCTGGGGCCTAGGCACAGGGCCGCATGACTTGGGATTTAGAAACATCGCTGTCAGCAAGTTGGAGGAGAGTAGACGGATGGGGTTAGAAGGAAGGCCACCAGCAAGAAAGCTCTTGGAATGCTCCGTGTCGATGACACAGGGATGTTCGAAAGCACTGGTCAGCCCAAAGAACGCGAGTTGTCCGAGTTAAACTTGGCGGGCTTTCTGACCGATTGAATGACGGGTAAGAAAAGGCATGACTGCCTCACTGGTTTCTGGGTAGACTCGAGAGTGATGTTAGGGAAAAGATGAAGAGTTCCGTTCTGGTCGTGTTGGATGTGAAATTGGGGAGACATCCACTAGGAGATAAGACTCGTTAGAAACAGAGCTTTGGAAGCCAGGGAAATAGTTTGGAAAAATTTAAATTGTGTATTAACTTCATCAGCAAATAGATGTTGAAGTCACGAGAGAAGGTGGAATTATACCAGGAGAGCTTGTGCATGAGAAGGGAAGGCCGCTGGGGCTCGATACTAGGAGTCTGCAGTGTGTCAGAACTAGAAATGGTTTCATACATCCACTGAGGCGACAGTATAATCTTTTTACACCGTAACTTTTGTTTAAATGGATGTAGTAAAGAATATAAAAATGCTATTTGAAAAACATTTTAAAGGTTTGTTCTTGAACCTGTGAATGAATTCGATTCTTGGATTTTGATCTCTATCTCTTGTTTTAGATTGATTCCCTAAAAGACACCTTTGCCAGCACTTCTGAAGGTAAGACATCCATCAAATCTATCAGTAAGTGTTTGAGGCAGTGTTAGCAGAGAGAGAGAGAGAGAGAGAGAGAGAGAGAGAGAGAGAGAGCGCGAGAGAGAGAGAGAGAGCGCGAGAGAGAGACACACAACCAGACAGCGAGTCAGTGTCAGTAAGTGAAGATGTTTCCTGCTGAAAAATCTAGTTGTGAGTTCTCCTGTCACCACTCCCACTGTGTCTTCACCTGTCACATAGGGGCAACCATGTCTACCTCACCAACCCAGTGTTATGGGGAGAGAACATGTGGGAGAGGGAATGTGAAGAATGAATCTCGACAAAGTTACTTTGTATCTTAGAAACATGCACTGCCGTGTTTCCGTAGCTGGGCTTCCGTGAGGGAAAGGGTGCTTCTTCGTGATGTTGGGGGTGCGTGTAAGCTGCCACAGTCTGGGGGTTCACTGTGTTGGAGTCAGTGGCGCATTTAAAGGATGTTTGCTTCAGTGTGGTTTGCGGTTTTTCCCCTCAGGTCACAGTAAGGCTCCTGTTTCCACGCGTAGTCGAAGCGGTCATCTCAAGCGGCCAAAGATTGGGAAGAGGTTTCAGGATCCTGAATTTAGTGGTTCTCAAGGAGACGATGACAAGACTCCCCAGACATCACCTGCAGCCTCAATAAACAAGTAAATGTTTTAAATTTCACTTACTCTCATTTTAGATATTCTTGTCAGGTTATCAGTATTGAGTGTGAGGGTGGAAGCCGTTGATGTAGCAATGCCCTTGGGTGTAGAAGTTTGTATTTGCAGCCTCCTAGGGGATCGTTGGTGACGCTTAGCAGTGTGGGCTCAGGGTGTCCGTGAACTCTGGCAGCGTTAGAGGGAGGGAAGCTAGTGATTGGGCCGAAGAAATCCTTAGATTAATCTCTCATCCTAGTGGTGAGGGAAAATATTCTAATGATTTTATTGTCCACACTAAGTTATTATCACCAATTTTGAACTTTGAATTTAATTGTAGATGCTATGGTTTTTAGACATGCTAAGGTTTAGTTAGTTTTGACTTTATAGCGGATTCATTTTGCTGGGCTCTGGGATACCATTTAATTTTTTTTTTAATTAGTGGGAACTGTACATAGTGCAGCCAGTTCCTCCAGGAACTCAGTAGCTAATTGAATCAGGAAGCGTTTGGGTCAGCCCTTTATCCTGTCTTCTTTTGAAGCTCAAAGAAGGCAAGATTAAAAATTTTTAAGTATAATTAGATCTTTACCCCAGTAGTCCTGTAAGTTGTTCCTAAGTTATCCTTTAGTTACTATGTAGCTCTGCTGTTTTAGTTATCAAATTAATTTACACAGGGAGAGAGTTAGGTTCTTATCTGGATTTTACTATGTAAATGTTTTGATGAAACGTGTGTGCTCCTGAAAGCAACGTCAACAAAAACCTGAAAAAACCCATTGCCATTGAGCCCATTCCTACTCTTAGTGACCCTGTGTAGAGTCAGCTGTAAGTCTTTATTGGAGAAGATAGCCTTACTGCTCTCCCATGGAGTAGCTGGTGAATTTGAACCCACGACCTTGGGTTTAGCAGTCTTAATGATTACCTGACATTGCCACTGGGCTCCTTTGTTAAAGGCAATATTTAATATTTAAATCCAGGAAGTTGTGACGAGAACAAGAGTTTAGAAAACTCAGTTGCTCAGTGAGCAATAATTTGACATATACCCTTTTCAGAAGAAAATGTCATCAAATATTTAAAATGGAACATCCTAGAAATATTGTGGCTATTGTTTGCTTTTCTTAAGACTCCATGCGTGAATGCTTACTCAGGCACTTGAAAGCTCTCATGAATTCCATTCTGACTCGCAACAACCCTATAGGACATAGAACTCTCTCTCTCAAATCCTTAAGGGAGTAGAAAGCCTCATCTTTCTCCCAGCTGGTAGTTTTGAACTGCTGACCTTGCAACTAGCAGCCCAATGTGTAACCCACTATGTATACAAGACACTATGTGGAACAAAACAAGACAGACAGATAACAATAAAAGAGTGTTGTGTGATTTGGGGTAGTCCAAAGTTCGGTGAATGCTGATGATAAGGTTCAGTCTAATTGGGGAAGTTCCGTTTGGAGGTTGCCTTTGGACCAGAACCACAAAGAGAAGTAGAAATTCAATAAGGAGAGTTGAGATAGGAGACTTTGTAGGTACACTGCCTATTTTTCTAAATATAATTTTACTGTAAATAAAATAACATAAGTAGGTTGCTCTAGTTTTACAGTAGGGAAGTTGAGTAGTTGGAATAGAGATTGAATGGCCTGCAACAGCTAACATATATGACCCTTTATGGAAAAAATTGCTTATCCTTGATCTACACTAGCCCTGTCCAGCATAGCTTCCCATGGCCCAGTATGCAAACCAGTAGCCAGTGTGGCTCTCGAGTTCTCGAAATGTGGCTCGTGCTGCTGATGAAGTGAAGTTTTAGTTTAATTTTCCTTATACGGACTTTAAATGTAAAGGGCAATGCTCGTCTTTGTGGTTGCCATGCTGGGCCCCGCAGAGCCGGATGAAGGGAGTGTCATGAACAAAGGCCCAGAGCTGAGGCATGCTAAGGAGGCCTGATGTCTGAGGTAAGAGAGAAGAGGAACTCTCTATAATTTCGAAGCGCAGACAACTATCCAAAGTTTCTGAGCTGGACTAACAGGCACAGATGTACCAAACTTGTTCAAGGATGTGCAGAAAGTCAAGGTGAGTTGGGAAGTGATTACTGTGGTCCAGAGAATGTTGACGATGGATGAGGATATGTTTGAAAGATATTTCAGAGGTAGAACTCAACCATGTAATTTGTTCTTATTAGAACTGGCAAGGACAATATTAAATGATTATGCCAGTGCTGAGGTACGGGCTGGAAACCCATGCTGTGCAGGTCACCTGGGAAGTGCCAGGTCTTTTTGACAGAGCCAGTTCTGGGAAGACAGGAGTAGGTTGGAAGAAGGGTGTAGCTATTACACAATTAGAAATTGTTGATGTTACTGGTTGGACTGGAGAACAAGCTGGGAAGAGCGAGCAAATTTGTACAAGGCTAATGAGGTTGGTTTTAGACCTGGAAAGTCGGGAATACGTTGTTCACCAAACAACACTTTGTGATTCTCCAAAGTGTTACCTTTGAAGAAAGAGTTGTAGGAATCTTATATTCATCCTGACTCTGACCAGTCGGAATGGCTGATGAGTGGTGGTGTTTCAGGTTGGAGTCTGCTGCACGCACATCGGAGAGCTCAGAAGAATTCCCGGAAGAGCCGGAAGAGAGCGTGGCTGAGTTTGAGGATGAAAGCAGTGATAAGGACACACCGCCAGCACCAGAAGGCCAGCCACACCTAGAAAAGCAAGGTGGGGGAAAGGTACGTGAGCACCGATGCAGCAAGAGGAATAAAGGTAAACTTAAATGGGAGGTTTGTAAAGCATAGATTCTTAGAAAAGTACACGAGACTTTAGAGCCTTAGTAGAAATGCTATTTAGTCCTGAAAAAAGCATAGATCTGAGTGGGCAGATAAAATGTGGTACATGTATACAATGAACTTTTCCTCGGCCATCCGGAGAACGGAAGTCCTGACCCATGTAACAACGTGGACAAACCTTGAAAACATTCCGAATGAAATACGTCAGCCACAGAGGTACAGATGTCTGATTTCACGTATATGAAGCTCTATATGTACTTGTGTATTAGCTGAGTTTTTCAGCACATTTTTAATGCAGTTTTTGTGCTAAAATTAGGTGCCTCGGCTGACATTCGTGTCAGCTTATACTCGAGTATATACGGTATGTGGAATAGACGAGTATGTAGAGATCAACATTTGTTAGTGATTCTAGGAGTGGGAGGAAGTCAGTCCCTGATGCTGTAGTGGGTTATGAGTTGGGCTGCTAATCACAAGGTCGGCAGTTCAAATCTACCAGCCACCTGCCACTGCACAAGAGAAAGATGGGGCGGTCTGTCTCCATAAAAAATGTACAGCCTTGGAAACCCTGGGGAGCAGTTCTGTTTTGTCCTGTAGGATGGTTATGAATTGTAATTGATTTGATGGCAGTGGGTTTGTGTTTAGTAGCATGAGGGAGCAGAAAAGGGGGATTACTGCTTAGGGGACACTGATCTTCTGTTAGGGGTGATGGGGAAATTTGGAAACATCATTTTAATGGTTGAACAGTATGATAAATGTACTGAATTGTACACGTCAAGAACACGGTACATTGGATATGATGTAAGTCCCGTCTTCTTCGTTGTCACAAACACAACCCGTGCCGAACTGTGTCTTTAGGGATCTGCAGTAAGTTAGAGAAAGTGCAGTGGTTCTCATGAGCTGTACTTACGTGCTAGAAGGAGCCCTAGGGGGTGTGGGGGGAGGTGGCCGAGCCCACCAGCAGAGCAGGCATTAGGAAAAACACCGCCCAGGGGGAGGGAGTGATTGGCTAGCAAACTTAGTTAAAAGCATGTGTTACTCGTGTAAAATTATGGTAGACCCTTTAGTGGGTAAATATATATTTGCGGTCTATTTCTATGATTATTATACTGTACATCCCTTCAGGTAGCCCGTGTCAGCCATACAACAATGTTGTTGTTCTTAGGGGCTGTCAAGTCATTTCCGACTCTTTGCCACCTTCCGTGTACAGCAGAAGGAAACACGGGCCCAGCCGGCCCTGCGGCACCTTCACAACTGCCTTGTCTTCAAGCCCAGGGTTGCAACCACTGTGTCGATCCATCTTGTTGGGCTCCTTCCTCTTTTTCACCATCCCTTTACCAAGCATGATGTCCTTCTCCAGGGACTGGTCTCTCTGGACAACATCTCCAAGGCACTTAAAGAGTAAGTTTCGCCATCCTTGCCCCTAAGAAACATTTTGGCTGTACTTCTTGGTAGTTGGTCCATGGTACTTCCAATACTCTCTCCCCAGCACCATCATTCAGACGCATTTTTTCTTCTTAGGTCTTCTCATGCAGTGCCCCACGCTCAAATATATCTGAGGCCATTGAAAATACTCTGACTTGCCTTAGGCACACCTTAGTCTTCAGATTTACATCCTTCTTTTTAACACTTGCAGGAGGTCTTGTGTAGCAGATTTACCCAAAGTAGTCCTTTGTTGGATCACTTGACTGCTGCTTCCACGAGCTTTGTTTATGGATCCAAGCAAGATGAAATCCTTGACAACTTCAACATCAGCCTTTTCTGCATTTATTGTGATGTTACCTATTGTTCTATCAGGGAGGATTTGGGTTTTCTTGACATTGAGTTGTCATCCATATGGGAGGCTGCAATCCTCGATCGGCATCAGCAAGCGCTTCAGGTCCTCCTCGCTTTCAGCAAGCAGGGTGGGTCATCTGCATATCACAGGTTGTTAATAAGCCTTCCTCCAATCCCTATGCCACACTCTTCTTCATACAATCCAATTTCTCTGATCATATGCTCAACATTTGGATGGAAGAAGTATGGTGAGAGGATATAACCCTGATGCACATCTTTCCCGATTTTTAAAGCATGCAGTAGTCCTTGTTCTATTAGAATACTGCCTTTAGATCCATGTACAAGTTCAGCATGAGCACGATGAAGTATTCTGAATTCCCATTCTTCTCAGAGTTACCCATAGTCTGTTATGACCCACACAGTCAGATGCCCTGGCATAGTCAATAAAACACAAACATCTTTCTAGTATTCTCTGCTTTGAGCCAAGATCCATCTGTCATCAACAGTGATATCCCTCTT